CATTGCTAGTCACTTGGCGTCCTAAAAATACGATCAGGAAAAATGGATTATTTACTAATATTATCTTTGTTCGAAAGGCACACATTGGTTGATGCAGATTATACAGCTACTACGGTTTGACGGTGACTTCGAAAAGGTGTTGGAAAGAGGTTTTAAAGACTCTCAGTTATTGGAGTTCTTTTTTCCAACACCAATTACAACACCATACGGTACAACAAGTTACGGTTACAAGTACTACGAACAGTTACCATCACCTCGCCTTGTTGTAACGCATCTACCTTTGAAACTTCTTCCAAGACAAGTTTTTGAAAAAAAGGCAAAGGTAAATAAATAATATTAGTTAAGCAGTATGTCGAAAAATCGTGCACTTTGTGATAAAATCACAATGTACGGTAATGTTAGTTTGTTTGTTGTTGTGCTTTTAACTTAATGCACATGACTGTTCTCAAGCTCTGTCTACACTGTATAATTCTATGTCAAATAAATGTGATGTTCCCATATGTGGTGTAACATGACATCATCATGCCCATATATGGACACATCACACAAATCCAACTCTGCTCCCGGTGAGCTATAGACGATGAGAAGCCGCCTGCCGATTTTCGTCAGCCTTAAACGATCGTCATTAAAAATGTTCCGCTGCGCGCGCATCGTAGTGTTGCGTTTTTTTTTCTTCATAGAATCGCGTCGACCGTCGGCCGCAGTGCAGAGCTTGTAGTTAGGTCTAGGTTACAGTTTTTCTATTAATCTACATAATTTTAAACGTAAAATTAAACATGATAAATTAATAAATTACGATAATAAAGTATAAAAGGGAAAACAAGTATCATTGTTTTTCTTCCAGTAAAATTCCGTACAGCATATATTTATTATTTCTACTTTTTTGTTTTAATTTAATAGTTGCTTCGTTATTGTGCTTCTAATGTTGTGTGTTTACCAGGATATACGTACATTAATAAATAGAATGAATCAATCAACAATTGCAATTAATTAACATTGTAATATTGTACAGTACACGTCATTTATTAATCCTATTGTATCATTTTTAAGATGAAAGGTACTGTAGACCTATAAGCCAATTCATAACTGCGCACGCCCGTATCCATGGTCAATCGACAAATCCCATATTTCAGTTCAGAATTTGTTTTCACGCAACGGTTTTTTCCCTTTTCCAGGTGATATACGTTGCCAGGAACCCGAAGGACACAGCAGTGTCAACGTATCATTTCATG